CAGTTAATGGCAGTCAGGACTAGAGTCCAGCTCTCTAGACAGACAGACAGGCTGATTCTCCTTCTAGCCTCTTGTTAGGATCATATTACACAGAAGGGAAAAGGGGCTCCTTTGGAGTAATCTCCCCAAGCTCAAACCATCTTTCTCTACATTTCCATAAAAATAAAAAATAAAAAGTTTTTTTTAAAACACATTTAAATGCAGCTGGTCACAGGAAGTCAATGGGGCTGGATACCCATGGACACCCAGGGGCAACTGACAGAAGCAGAAACTGCCTCTGTCTGAATCAAAAGGATTATAGAAGGTCACATGCTGAAGATCAGCAACAACATCGTACTGTCAGGGACAGTTGTAATGGAATACTACAACCAAAAGGTCAGAATTCACTGGTGGTAGTGAACACCTGACTCGATTTCTCCAAAGCTGTAATTACAGCCAGGAGGTGGGCCCAGGGCTTCTATTACCAGTCTTCATTCTTCAAAATATTTTTAGTGTGAGCAAACTCCTCTATTGTTTTTATTTGTTTTCTCTTGAGATCCTGGCACATTTATGTTTTATGTTGCAGTCTTTATTATAACTCTGAAGGGAAATTTAATTGATTTGTATCTGATGCCCATAAAAGCTAAATTTCAATCATTTTCCATTTTTGAAAAGTGAATATGTTTTAAAGAATCTATCTTTGATCTAAAAAACTAAGTAGGACCTCAGGTCAGAGCTCATGAACACTAAAATGTTTATATTCTAAAAACTCTTGACTAATAGTTCCACTGATTTTTTTAAAATAAAAAGAATGTACAAATTCAAAACAATAAAAAAAACACTAAATCTAAAGAACACCCTACTGGGGACTTAATCCCACTCCAGGAAAGGGCTCCTACTGACAGGTGAGCTCTGGGACCTGCTCACATTTCTTTAGTCACCATGGAGGACGTAATTCCTCCAACAGACCAAAAAGGGGAGAAGGAAAAAAAAAAAGAAGAGAGGAAGGGAGAAAAACACCAAAATAAAAAAATACATGTATCCCCTTTAAAAAATGAGCATTTAAACTGCTTGTCAGATGGTTTCCTGACAAAGCCACTAGAGTGTATTCACAGGCATTTGCATAAATGCTGCCGCTGAGTTCACCATAGCTGCAAGTGCTAATGGTACATAAAGTAATTTAGTCACTTCTCCCGGCATTCTATGTCAGAATGATGAGCACGGGCACTTTGCCTTGTTGCATATTAGATCATTAGATAATAAAGTGATAGCACATGCAAGCTGACAGGGGCTGGGCACCACAGCACTGTGAGGGCACCGCATTTTGCCACAGGGGGAAGAAACAGAGAAACTGATGCCACAGTTGGCCTTGAATTGAAGTAAACACAACCTGGAACTCAGGGGAATAACAATGCCAAGAGCAACACTCCCTAAACCCCTCAACGACTCCCCAGAACACAGTCTTCATGAACTTGCCCAAATGACTGGAAGACAAGGCAAGCACACGGGGCAGCGCTGAACATAGCCTTGTGGCAGCCACTCGGCGCCATTCACCCCAAACCCATGCTTTTTCAAAAATTGGAACCAGGAGAGCAGCTACATTTTGAGGCTGCCTCTATCCACAACTGTACATCTTCCACTAAGCCATTGCTTAAAGAAGAAACCTCACTAGCCTAAATGCTCCCATAAATATCCAGCCAAAGAAAATCTTGGTATTCATGAATGAAGAGCAAGTACAGGGGGAAGAGCTGTTTCCACAATCTATAGCATGCCAGGATTCACTCTCTTTGGACCATGCAAGAGTCTATGAAATAAATTTGCCTTTGTCAACTCTCAGACTTGAATTACAGGGTCATTTATCAGAGCACAGGGGTTTGTGAGTCCACGGGTCATATAAGAAAGCCCATGCATGAATGTAAAGCACGATCTCTGTCTCTACTTATATGCAGAAAGGTGAGCTGCAAAAGGAAACTTCCTCCAACAGTCTGACAAGCAGGATATAAATAGAGATGTGAAGAGTAGCCCAAAATAATTCAGGCTACCTGTAAATGAGACGGTAAATTCCAGAATGGGGGAGAACGTAGGTTCCCACAGATCACAAGAGGAGAACATGCTCCGCAGTTTCACCATGAGGAAGCTGTTTGAAAGCAGTTGGGAGTGAGAGTGGAGAGACAGAGGGACGGGGGTGTGTGATTCTCTCAGTCTTTTAAACAGAGCATTTTGAAATAGGACTTTTCAACAACAAAATAAAGTATTACCCTCACGTCAACATGAATTAGCATCTAGGTCCACTCCCACACAGCACCAATGAAAGAGTTCAATAGTCACCCTTTGCTGAGTAGATATTTATGTGTCAGCTTGAAGTGTCTAAATGAGTGGGTGGTTTTGTGTGGTTGGTTGACTCACTCTGCAGAGAAGCAGATTTCTATGGTATTGTCATTACTAAGAATTTGAACATGTCTACCCTTACTTTCCACTGGAGAGAAGTGAAGTAAGGCTTAGGTAAAGGCAAGACCCCCTTGTTGAAGGAAATAAGACATACCCACATCCCCAACGACGGCCAATCATTCACATACAGTGAAATCTCACCATTTTTTGAATAATATCTTATAATAATATGGCCATTTGTGGACTTATAAACTCAAGCAGGTGAATAAAAATGCTGTCTTTAAAACATAGAATAATATGATATCCCAGCTGAAATATTAATATGTACTCTTAGAAGAGAGAACATCTGAGCCGAGGAAGTTTAGAGTTGTGTTGGTCCAGAGGTGTCAAACTGTTGGCCTGTGACTGCATTCTTCCCAAGTGGCTTTTTTTCCCCCTCCTCCTTTCTGTGTCCAAAACTTTGTAATTAGCTACCAACAATTAAAAATTAGGGGAGTTTTAATTCTTGCCAAACTGGAACATCTGGCCCCACTTGGGTTCTCATTCCCCTAAGTGACAACTGGCTGGGACCGGGGGTCACCAGAGCGTGGACCTGCCCGTCTTCTCAGCCTCCACCCAGACCACTTCCCTATCTACATTACCTGCCCCCACCCAAAGCACAGATTTTTTTTTTTTTTAACTCTCCTACGGATCATCACCTTCATTTTAACAAGGAGGAAATCAAGGATACCAAAAGCTAAAGCAACTTGTCCAAGGTTGAACAGAGGCCAGAGTGAAACTAAGAACTGAATTTGGGGTTCCTGGTACCTATTTCAAGGCCTGGTCACTTATCATGCCGCAAAATAATGTTACTGATCTTCATTGCCTAGAGGAATCCTTTAGAGCAGGCTGTATTCTATGTTTGCTTTCGGTTTTTGTTGGAGGGATAATTTGCATGGTGTCAGGAGCTTTCGCACTGGCTTCCCAAGAGCAGAAATAGGAGCTGCATGTGGCCTGACCAGATTTTGAAAGTGTGAACCCAGATTTCAAACTGACAGTCAAGACTGTCACCAGATTGGGTAGTACCTATTGCAGGTAACCAGCCACAGTCTAAAACATAACTTCAGTCCTTAGGCAGCACTCTCCAAATCGTGCGCACTGAGTATTTCCCTATTTTTTTCCTCCTCCTTTCACCTAAACACCTCTAAGTCACACAATGCCTTAAGTAACTCCAAAGATATTATAAAGGCAACATTACGGTAAAGTGAGGATCAGAATAATTTTAAGTACAGAAATGGAACTAGGAATGTAATCATGAGCAGGTGTTTCAAATGGCCTCCTGCAAAAAGTAATATCCATCCATCTCAGTACTAATGAAACCATAAAGAAGCAGCTTTTGAAAGATGATGGTTTACTTTAAAAAGACCGTAAAACTGGATGTGGTGAAGAATCCCTTCTAAGAGTGTTACATCTGGCTAATTAATAAAAAGTACGGTTCGTGTGTTCCATAAGCACAGGAGAAAAAAAACAGGCAAAAATGATGAGAGTGGTGAGTTTATTAAATTGGGATGCTGGCAGGGAAGGGAGTTTTCTGTCTTATGAATTATGGGCAACTCCTGGCCCATGGAAAAAAACAGGCAATCAGATGATAATTTGTGTGGTAGTGTTCTGAAAAGAATCTTGCTGACCTAGCAAACTAGAAAGGGAAGTGAGGGAAATGGGTTAAGAGTCTGAGGCAATTGAAGAAAGTCTAGTATGGTGACTGTTATCCAGAGCCTCAATCACTCATTCTTGGATGGATGGATGGATGGATAAATGGAAAGGAGGAAGAGTAGGTACATTACACACACACGCAACACTGAAAAATTCAGATGTGCACCTAATCCAACCCATGGATCTTCTGAGTGGCATTCACTTTCCTTGATTCAAATTTTTATCTGGTTTCCTTCATTCCTCTCAAAGGCACCACTTATTAGCCATAATTCTCAAAAAAAATGTGATTTTTCCCTATCAAAGTCTACCTACAGAAAGCAAGCGCTATCACCTGGTGAAGAGGTGAGACCTATGTACAGGGCACAGGAAGGACATTTGGTCTGAGCTTCATATTCAGAAAGCACCTGCAACCTAGACATTGAACCTGATCTTCAAAGGAAATTCAACATGTAGTCCCTGAAATACACCAGGAGGATAGTAAAGAGGATGGGTTCATTATAAAACCTCAATGGTCAATTATAAACATGCCTGATATATCACGATTTTTGTGACACAAAATTGTGTGGCCTTTCCTAATTTTTCCTTGGATTGGCCTTTCCTTACTTTGTAATCCAGTGAGAGCTTAAAATAAAGCAATGGCCCACGCCTCCTCCTTTCTCTCAACCTGAAAGGAGGCAATATTAGCCATTTCCAGAGTAGAGAGTGGTCGCACAAGAAAGGTGGGCCTCCGAGATATTTTCCAGTCTTGAATATGTGGCATCATATGTTGAAGAGGAAAAAACCCTGGAGGATCGATCTTGTTCGAAAAGACTTTTGACATTTGAAACAGAGTAGAACATGTGGTGGAGTAGAAGAAAGAAGCCAAATAAATTCACAGTTAAAGTAGCAATGCCAACCAATGAAAATGATTCGCCTACCATGTTCCAGATAAGAGGGCGTACCTTCCGAGGGGTCAAGCCTCCGAGCCCTCCGCCCATGCTTGGAATTATTATGGACAAACATGTTATCAGAGACTGCCAGGACATGGCCATCCACATTGACTGTCGTAGACACCACGACCTAGAGACATAAGAAAGAAATGAATGAACATTTTAATATAAAAGCGTGGTGGGTAATAAGCTCAAGTTAAATAAATAACAGCTGGGAGCTGAAGAAAATTGCATAGCTATTTCACATAATAACTGGTGCTTATGCTGTACAAGTCTAACAAGAGGAGCTATTGATGAGTGGGTCTTTGGCATGGAACGCTTTTGATGCAGTTTTAAGTAAAATTGCACAGTTTATAGTTACACAGCAGAAGGTACACTGTTAACCATAATTTTAACAAGAGGATCTTTATTAGCATATTTTTTTACACAAGGGTGGTTGTGTTTCACCTAAATTACCCTTCAGTTTAGACACTGAAGCAGATATCACAGTTGATCGTGCAAATAAAAATCTTTTGAATCTTTAAAATATTCCCCCCCCCCCCACCGTGTCAGGGTTAAGAGGATAGAGAAATGAAAAAGATTTCAGTAAGAGCTGGGATGCATTTTTCTCTCCTGGGTGTCTTTCTGAGATTTCTTGTACTTTTTTCTTTTCACCTTAGTTTGGTTCATCAGACCAAAGTCCCCCTTGCTACTATCACCATCACCCCTCCCCGCCAAAATTCCTGCCAATTAAGGGTCTTAGATCTGTTTCAAATTAAAAAAAAAATGGTGGGACTGGCCCAAGGCATAATTTAGACACTGAAACCATCTCATAAAGTGACTGTGAACCCAGTTTGCCAGAAGAGACACAGGCAGAGATGTTGTCTCAGAGAACTTTGACTAAAACAATGAGAAGAAATGACCTACACTTCTCCTTATATTAAATGGGAAAGGGATTAAAACTGAAACCCACAGAGATATGTTTATTCATGCGACCTCTTACAACCAAATATAATAATCGTCTGTAATTGCTGCTTCAGCTCCCACCTCATGCTTTGACACGGGAAACAGCAATCAGCCCGCTCCCGTTTAATCCACCTATTATGTTGACTAATTAACTTTGCTCGACAGTTTATTTCTTCCTCCATTATCAGCCCCTGTCAGCCGCAAGCACCCTGCAGCACAGGGGGAACCTCAGGCTCTTTGATTGATCACCGATAGATTGACATGCAGATTAATTTAATTAGAATCACCTCACTTGAGAAATGAAAAACAATGGCAAGAGGGCTAATAGATCTGCTCTCATAATGAGGGGAGCCTCCAGAGCGAAGGCTGAGGATTTCTGATTTATTTTGCTCAATTCCCCAGTTGCTTGGAAAGACTCGCTTTAATTGTTCTTGGTTTTGAGAGGCATTAGCCTCTGAAGAGGTGAACCGCTTCACAAGGATTGGCACAGACGGAGGCCTCAGTTTCTGAGGAAGCCTTTTCTCCGAGTTGGCTAAAGGGGGCAACCACTTCTGAAGAGTCTTGTGCAACACTAATGTTTCATCAGCTGAGTTGGGCAGAGGGGAAGATGCCAGGCCCCAGTCTACGCCTGTGAATTGTCAGCCCAGACTCCAGTCCTCACTAGTCTTGCCACACTTAAAAATTCCCCTGTCCCCCTTGTTGACCTAAGGGCATCCTGGCAAAATATGGTGAATTTCCTTTCCCAGAGCCTCAAAGATGCCCATGAATTGCAGGCTGTGAACGCATCACTCATGGTAGTAGCATAAGGTTAATTTTGTTTTCTAAAACTACTTTATTAAAATGCATAGGAAACAGTTGAGGGTTCAATCAAGGATTCAGAGTATTCTCCTTGGCCACTGTGAAACCCCAAATTCCATCTAGAACAAATCATCTGGGAGATGACATGTAAGTTTGATGCAGTAGTTTGCAGAGTGGTTCTTCCCTTAATTCATGATTGACCAACCAGATCTGACACAGCCTGAAGCTTATGTGTTTACAAGTTAATTTAAAAGAAGGAAGAGAAGGAGGAGAAGAAGAAAATGGTCTACTATTTTGTCTTCAAAAACTATCATGTGCAGTGGCAAAGTCAATTTTACTTAAGGCAACAGAAGTTCACTTTTCTTTTTAGAGAGACGGCTTCTCAGGACTTACAATTACATAACAGAGCCAGGTCTTTCAAAGAAATTTTGATTTACTATGAGACCACAGTTGAGCGGTCACTGGAGTCGTTAGCTGAAGAAACTATAAAAGGAATCCCAAACCATATCTGTTTTCAGTGTCAGGAAATACAGAAAGTGGTTATTCTAGATGTCTGTCTTAGGAGGAAAAAACACAACAGTGACAATTCACCATGCACCTGTAAGACACAAGCTCTCCAAACTTAAGGCTTAAAAATTCAGTATCTTTTAAAGACACTGTCATCTAATCCCTACATTAAACAAAAATGTCAAGAACGGTTAAGGAAAAAAAACTATACCCCATATGTTTTTCTTTTCTTGGCAACAGAAGAACCACCAGGGCCACATGTGTGATAGAATCATTTGGTTGAAATGCCAATCAAAATTGGGGAAAAGATAATACAGAGAATCTTCATACTTTAAATTTCTAGAAAATGAACAGCTAATCTGCTCCTCAAAAACTCACAGTACAACTTGCCTACCGCAAAACAACTTCTCCCATTTCAATTTGGAAATATTCAGGATATATTTAAATAAAACATTTGATAAAATTAATCCACAGAGCAAGTTGTAAATTAAAAAAAAATACATGAGATGCAAAAGGGGGACTGAAGTGTCCTTTAAAAACTGGCCCATGGTAGGAGGGAAAAGGGCCTTTACAGTTTCATGCAAGATTAATGAGGTGCTGACACTTTCATGCAGGCAAGGGGACAGGCAGGCCTGCCAAGTCTCCTACCTTCCTAAATTTTGTCAATAAAACATAGCCTAAATTTGAGACAGATAAACATTAAAAATGATTTTACCTTTGGACACAACCACCCTTTTCCTTTTTCCCCATTTCTCTACTCCCCTGCCCAGAGAAAAAGATGTTGAGAATATGAAGAAATAGGTATGTTTAGAATTTTATGATATCTGTTATAATTACACCTTTACTTTCTAGAACTGCATTGTCCAATGCAGAAGCCAAATGTGTGGCTAAATTTAAACTAAACAAAATTTTAGATTCCCTTCCTGAGCCTCAATAGCCACATTTCAAGTGTTTCATAGCCATACGTAACTCTGGCTACCATATTGGACATGGCGAATGGGGAATTTTTTTTTTATCATTGCAGAATGTTCTATTGGATGGCACTGCTCTAGAATGGTTTTGAAATTAATTGTACCGCTTGATTCTTGAAGATGCCAATGTTATATCTCCTGAAATATCTGCCTATGTAAACAAGTTTGGGTTTATACATATATACTTTATCACTATATTTTTGTAATGAAATTTCTATTAGGGGGCTTTGCTTCTTAAGGTAGCAATTTAGAGATATGCTGGTGAGCACCCAGTATGTTCCAAGGTTCTTTCCATCTGGTCCCTCTCTTCCAGTTGAGAGTATTCGGAATAAGGGAATAAGAAGGGCAGAAAAGAAGTCTCTAGCTGACCATGGCCTTTGGATATTTTACACTTTGGATATTTTCAATTTCTTGGCTCATATCAGTGGTTCAGAATCTCCTCTGTTTCATCTTTTTCTGGATTAATATCCCTAAAAGGTATTATTCCTATCCCTCTCTATTTAGAATTTGAAAGAACTAGATACAAAATTTCATCCTTGGCTCCCAAACTTTCCTGGTTAATGTGACTTTGACCAGGTTAACTTCTCGGAGTCCCAGTGTCCCTGACTCTCAATGGGAATAATGAGCATACTTAACTCATAAGGTAATTGTGAGGCTTAAATTCATTAAAGTGGCTAGCATGGTTCCTGGTTCACATGGAGCACTCAATAAACATGAGTAGCAGTAATAGAGTAGGAGTTGTCACTTTGTTGGTGATGTTAAACAAAAAGTTCAAAGGAATGTGTTGGGTTGATAACCTGAAGCATCTTAACGGCCATAAACAAGACCCAGAATACACTGTAATTTTTTTAAAAAGAGGATACAGACAGTGTTTTTTCTAAGTTCACTGCTCAACACAAACTTACAATTTTAAAGACTTTTGTGCCGATAACACATTATTATACATTTAGGCCTCACGTGAATTGCAGTTTTCACTGGTTTATATAATTTTGCTTTCTAGAACTTATCTGTATCTTAGTCTGTTACATTTGAGGCTTTATAAATGAAACCTCACTATTCTGAAGAGTCTGTAAATGACATGTCTCGTCAGTTCGGTCTAGTTTTCCCAATGTTTCCCATCAGTGAGGGTTTCTCAGGAGTTTTGTTATTGGTTGGTACTTCCTCACCATCACTTCTCGGGCAGCCCCTCTTCCCTTCATGTTGGGCAGGAGACCTTGTATGTCCTCACTCTATTATCTAAGATTCGTGAAGCTTAACCTCTGTCTCATGAGCAGATTTTCAAACAGATATAAGCAGCTAAATTCAATCACGAGTGGAAGATCGCATTAACGAATGCAGCAGTTTGCGTGGAAGAAGGGGTTACGACAAAAGCAACCCCAAACGTTGAAGTCTGCATCTTTAAGCATTTCTTCAACAAACACAGAATCGGAGCAAAGATTAGGTCATAATAAATTTCAAATATTGTGACAGTTAAGGACTTCCTTCCAAAAAAATAGCCACTTCCTCATGTTAATTTTCAATGACTATTTAAAAATTCCAAATCTTGGTTTTCAATGCTGATGCACGGTAACTCAGTAAAAGGAAATATCAGTGTTGAAGTTAGTCTGTTCCATGCTTCCTAACCTCTGGCTTTAGCTTGTACTTTTGCATTCATTTAGGGCTTTAAATTATAAGGCTTTAAAAATACTCACTTGAACTACATGAAATAAAAAGCATTGGGCAGCATTTCATGGAATAATACTCAGCAATAAGAAGGAACAAACAATTGATATCCCAGGGAATTATGTTGAGGGTAAAAGCCAGTAACCAGGGGGTACCAACTGCATGTTAAGGGCTGAATTATTCCTCCCCAGAAATTCATGTTGAAGGCCTGATCCCCAGTGCCTCAGAATGTGACTATATTTTCAGA